TAGTTTCTTTCAACCTGGAATAGTTCCTCCACCTGTCTGTCTTTTCTTTCCTCACACTGTTTTTAATAATCTTTTAATTTTAGAATAGCTGTAGGTTTACAGAAAAGTTACAAAGATAGTACAGGGAGTTCTTATACATTCCTCACCCAGTTTCTCCTAACATTAACATCTTACATTACCAATGGACATTTGTCATCACTAGTAAATCAACATTGATACATTATAATTAACTAACTCTAGACTTTATTTGAATTTCACACTTGTTTCTTCCATTAATGTTCTTTTTCTGCTAATGTCCTTTTTCTGTTTCACAGTTCAGGTCAGGACACCACATTGCATTTAGTTATCCTGTCTCCTAGTATCTGTTTCATGACAATTTCTTAGTCTTTCTGTGTTTTGGATGACTGACAGTTTTGAGAAGTATTAGCAGATATTTTATAGAATACTCCTCAGTTTGGGGCTGTCTAATGTTTTTCTCATTGTAGGTTTGGAAGGGAAAGTCACAAAAGCAAGGTACCCTCATTACATCATATCAACAATACATGATATCAACATGATTTATTGCTGGTGATGTTAACTGTAATCCCTGGCCAAAGCCATGTTTGCCAGATTAAAATGGTCACCATATGGTACACATACTCTTTTATAGTATGGTGAGTTTTTCTTATATTTAGAAGCTATAATGTTAGATGCATAAAGTATTGAGATTATTATGTCTTCACAGTTAATTGAGATTTTTGTTAATTACATAAGAACTATTTCTAACAATCTTTTTAAATTTAAAATCTATATGTTTAATATTAATGTAGGTCCACTGATTTTCATTAGGTTTGTTTTTTTCCCCCTAAGCATATCTTTACATTCTGTTCTTTTGAACTTTCTAAATTCTTATTTGATATCTGTAGTGAATAGCTTACGGGTGAATTTTATTCCTTTTAATTTTTTAAAAATTTTAATGCTTATTTATTTTTGAGAAAAAGAGAGAGACAGAGAGACAGAGAGAGAAGGAGACATAGAATCTGAAACGGGCTCCAGGCTCTTAGCTGTCAGCACAGAGCCTCATGCGCAACTTGAGCTCATAAGTGGTGAGATCATGACCTGAGCCAAATGGGCCACTTAATCGACTGAGCCACACAGGTGCCCCTGAATTTTATGTTTTTTATACCAAGTGACAATATGATTTTAATCTGGAGCATTTATTTCATTATCACATGCTTTAGTGACTATCCCCCTGGATTTATTTCCATTACTTTCTTACTGCTTTCTATCTGCTATACCCTTTGTTTCTTTAGTTTCTTTTGAGTTGGTTGTATTTTTAAAGCACTATTTTACAATTTTCCTTTTCTAAACTTTAGGTTATAAAGTCCTTTAAAGACTGTAGTTTTGCAGAAGTTTTTAATGATATATACTTAATTTATCCAGTTCTATTCACTTGAAGCCTCTTTTCCTTTCTTCTTAAACAATCAAAGAACATCAGAAGATTTAACTTAAATTCTCGCTCTTCTGATTAATGCTATCATTTGTATTTGCTATGTAGATTTTAACATTTGATTCTCGTCTTATAGTCAATATTCATTAAGATTTATTTTTATTGGGGCGCCTGGGTGGCTTGGTCGGTTAAGCGTCCGATTTTCGCTTGGGTCATGATCTCGCGGTTCGTGGGTTCAAGCCCCATGTCGGGCTCTGTGCTGACTGCCGGCTCGGAGCCTGGAGCCTGTGGCTCCCTCTCTCTCTGACCCTCCCCTGCTCACGCTGTCTCTCTCTCTCTCTCCTGGAAATAGGTAAAACATTGAAGAAAAAAAAAGATTTATTTTTATTTTACCACGTCTTTCACTGTTTGTTCTCTCATTGCAGACTTCCCATCTGTGATCATTCTCCTTTAGTTTGAAGTCCTTTAGAGAGTCCTCAAGCAAGGATCTTTGGCTATAAATTCGCTGAGTCCTTACTTGTTTAGAATTATTTGTGGTTCATGCTTGTTCTTAAAAGAGATATGCACTGTATACATTCCTAAGGGGATAGTTACTTTCTATCAAACACTGAAGATATTTTCACTTGACTTTCACCTTCAGTGTTCCTTCTGAGTGTCAGCTGGTTTGAAATTCCTATCCCTGTAGGCCATCTTTCCTATCTCTCTGGCTCATTCATTCATACTCTAAATCTCTGGTGTTTTGCTATGTCCCTCTCATGTGTATAGGTATAAATTGACTTTTATTTTTGCTACTTGGGATTCATTGGGCATTTCGAATCTGGAAATTCATTTTTTACATCACTTCTTGAAGTTTCCCAGCCATTCTCTCTTCAAACATTGCATCTTTTCATTCTTTCTTCTCCTTCTGAACCTCTGATGATAATGTATTTTAGAACTTTTATCTTGTTCTCCATGTCTGTAGACCTCTTTATAATAGTTTCCATGTCTACCTCTCTGTCCTGTATTATGGATAATTTCTTTACATCTATCTTTCAGTTCACTAATTCTTCTGCTGTGTCTCATTTGTGGTTAAATCCATTCACTGGGTTTTCTATTTCTATTATTTCCAGAAGCTCCACATTTATTTCTCCAGATCTTCTCAGTCATTTTTATTATCCTTTGCTAGTTACTCATATATCCATTCCTCTCTTTAAAGTTTAGGTATATTATACATGCTTACATTTTGTAAGTGATGCCTGATAGTTCCAGTCTTCTAAGTTTGTGTTTGATGCTGTGGCCTGTTATTTCCAAAGACCCTAATATATGGTACACTTTTTCTTCAGTGTTTTGTGATACTTTGAAATGAACTCCTATGTATTTTAAAATTTTTAATGTGAGAATCTTTTGAGATGTAGTGAGAAGGCAAACTTTGCAGAGATGTTTTCCATTTACCAGACACCTATGATCACTTCAGTTAAACAGAATTCTTGTTTTGAATTTTTTATAGCTACCAGATAGTGAAAAACCAGCAAGACTGCTTGAGGTCTGAATTATTAGTAGACTTTTTTGCCTCTCTTTTATTCATCATCAAGCTTTAGGGCAGGGATTTACCTTTTAGGTCCCTCCCAAGTGAATGTTTGTATCTAATTCAAGCTACAATCAGCCAATGTATTCATTGTGATCCAAGCTCTATGTTGGTATTAGACATGTACTGAATTCTCCACCTTGTGAGTCTTTCCTTCCCCCCCTCCCCACCTTTTTTGGTCTCTTATTTTTATGTCCTAAGGGGCCATGAAAAAGAAGCCCAAGATCAAGGTCTACAGGGTCACCTCTGCTTGTTCTAGTTTTTCTTTTTCAGCTTCTTATTGGTCCTTAACTTTCTTGCCAGGTTATCAAAGCATTTATAAAGACTTTGTGGCAAATTTTATTCAGCATTTTACAGTCTTTTAAGGTACATGGTCAGTCAGGGTGTTTAGTTTGTCATAGCATATAAAATGTGAATCTTGAGATTCACAAATAGAAAGAAGTAAAAAAAAGATACAGCTAGATTAGAAAAATTAATTGATTAAGGTTGCTGGAAGGATGCTAAAAAAAAGTACATGTAATATTCCAAGGAAAGATGTGTGAGAATAAATTAATCGATCGCTTAGTCATAAAGCCTTGGAGAAAATGAAAGATCCTGACATGTACAGTTACCCTAATGGGGAGTAAGGATAGATATAGAGAAAACAAAATGTTGTGATAGACGGTTTCATGAACAAGCTGTGAGATGACATTTTTAGCTTAAGACCAAGTGGTGCTCTACAGAAGAAAATATTAGAGTAGAAAGGAAAAAAGGATAGAGGAGTTTTAGAATGAGTATAATTTACATCGTTATATTTACAACTCAGACTTTTTTTTTTTTGGCCTTCTTCCCAGTTAGGTGACTTGAGAGTCGAGTCCCATTACACATGGAGAACAAGGGATTGTGTGTTTGTTGCATGCATGCTGACATAGATGATCAGAGATGAATTACATTCTTGAGGACAAACTCCCTTGTATGGCCGCAATTCAAGAACTTGTAGGTCCCAGGAATCACAGAAGAGTCTCAACTATGATTTGTGATGGGACAAAAGAACCGTGAAGAATACTACGAGTGCATTAGGGTTACTCTTTGGGGGATTCTCATAGGCTTGCCTCTGTATTCCCTCCTGGAAAGCAGGAAACCGTACACACATCTTGCATTTTCCTAGTGCACTTTTGTGTCAGCTGGAAGCTATATGAGCATAAATACACTCAGATACATGTAGAAAGAAAAGTGTTTCGGAGTTTGACTCTGCTTAATTTTGCTTATGTGTAACATATCTTCAGTATATATGGAGCACCTGCTATGTGTAGACATTTGACTCTGTTGCTTCACAAGAGGTCTATGTCATGAATTTTACTCATAAAATAAGACACTATAATCAACTTGTGAAAAGAAAGGGAAAATATGTGATGGTAACAAGTTAGGAATAAATAAATGCTAAACTTGTGTTACTGACTTTAAGTGACATAGGAATGTGGAGAAGGCTGAACTTTGTGTGAGGTTGACAGGATAAAGTTTCTTGGAACCAGTGGAACTTCATCTAGGGATATGGAAGGTTTGAGGTGACATAGGGAACAGTTAGCGTGAGGAGGTGTCTCAGGGCATGAGAATGGCCATAAGGAAGAAATAAGCACCAATAAATAACCCTGTTGATGAAAGGGGAAAGAAATGTTGAAAACTAAGGTTAGGAATAGGTTTTAATCACATAATAGAAATTTTAGAACCCATGGGAGAAAGTTTCATTATATTATACATATTACATTGTATTATGTTATATTACATATGGTAGACAATATGAAACTGTTGATGATTCTTGGGCAGAAGTTTGATCTGTTGAAAGTGATCAAAATTCAACTTCATTAGGAAATGTGGATCTATAGGATGAACTCAAGATTGAAACTAAGAATATATTTTGTTAGTAGTATGCTTTTTTGGGGTCCATAAAAATAAAACGTATAATATTAGTTTATGTTATAAAATTAACATAAATTTTTAATGTATATAAATATATTTTTGTTGTTTTAGAGGAATTCCAGGGAAGAAATGTGGTACAATTATACTTACAGCAGAGGAATTAAACTGTTGCAGGGTAAGTAAATATTTCTTTGGTTGAAAAGTATTTCCAATACTTCTTTGAAAAAATATTTTTGGAACTATACTTAAATGATGAATTCTTGAGTAATATTATAATTAACACTATATTGTATTATTCTGTGGTGTGTAAGACATCATTTTAGATACTTAGTACATTAATCAGAGAGACTACATTTATAGTCCAAAAAGGATATCAGTTATTTTAACAATCTTTTTAAGAAATAGAAATTATTAAAATAAAACCTAATTGTCAGTATCATTAATAGGGGAAGCATTAATATTAGGAATTATCAGTTGTACCAATCAGTTTAGTCCTTGCAAACATTTTGAAGACTTACATGTGATTATTAAGGAGTATTTCTGGTCATTTGACTTTAGTCCTTTTGCATAACATACTTGTTTTTCCATAATTCTGACTGAATTAATGCAGAATTTATATAAATGCCCAACTTTTGTTAAATTCAGAAGCTTTAGTTGTGATTTGCTAATATAGCCATTGACTCATGTTCAGTGATTTTACTGTCATCAAAAATGAGGTGATGGCTGTGACACTCCACACTGGAAGTAATGATGGCTCTCTGAGTCTGAAGTCCATATTGTCTATTTAATGTGGCCCAAAGGATTTCTGGGAATTGTGATTTCTGGAGCGGAGGGGGGAGGGGGTCGTGGGAGGAGGGAGAAGATTGCCCTGGATTAAACCTTGGGCTCTTTATTTTCAACTTTTGCTTCATGATTTCAGGAACAGAAGTTCCCAAAAAGTATTAAAAACTTAATGCTTAGACACTGGCTGCAGTTTTCATAGAGAACCACTATTTATTTTCTGATAAAATAACTTTAATCTATAGAGTTTTTTCTTTAAAGATAATCACTATGGCTTTATATACATAATATATGTCTAAGACAATATGGTCAGAAAACTGTATGATACTACCTGCCAGCAAATGATGGAAGCTGGGATTTTGGTGGGGTAAGGGGTGGCCAGTGATGTAGCAAAAGGGAAGTTTAGTGACAGTGTTGTGGAGCTGATTAAACAAGAATATTAGAATTTAAGTCATTAAAATGCATTTAAATTGAGACCCTCTTCTTCTTCCTTCACTGTCTTTGTGGTGTCTAACCACGTCGATCTGTTTCCTCATGTCTAAAATACCCAGAGCCTACTCGTTGTATACTGCTGTGTTAAAGACCATCAAACTGCGTTGAATTCTGGATTTGCTATGAATTTGTATTTTGTCTTAGGAAATCACTTGACACTTCTGTTTTATTTTCCCATATTTGCAGGTGGGGGGGGGGATGGGAAGCCAGATATGAACTGTGAACCAGTCACTAGAATATTCTTAAAACTTTTCCCAGCTCTCATAATTGACTACTATAACATTAAATCTGAAAGTATACATGAAACCATTTCATGTGTACTAAAAATGCATCACAAAAAGTTTAACACTTTAATTGTAGAAATATTACCTACCATCTTTGTTAAAATGGCACAATGATTTCATAAAATTATATCATTTAATGATCATTTATACCTCTTGTCTCTAGATTTATATATGTGTATATAATACATATTTTGTATAGTGAGGGAGGAAAGATAAAGTGAAGTTCAAGGTCGATAATATACATGTTCTTTGCATTGACATTAGCATGCTATTTTGTCAAAATCTGTTAAGGTGATTTTGTGTTAATATGCCAGTGACACAATTATTAGTTCTATTTCAAAATAGAACCAAGATACCAAGGGCATAAGATTGATAACAGGCAGCTTGCATCTTAAATATCTTTCACTTTCAATTCTATTGCTTTGCTTGAAAGAACAGAAAAGAACAGGAAAGTTTCCATGCAAATGAAGCAGAGTCTGTTACTTAGTCATCTAGAGGCATTTACTACTCTTTCTGCTACTAAAGCCTTTAGAATATCTGGAATTATCTTCCAATAAGTAAACACATATTTATTATACTTGACAATTATAGATCTGATATTTTAAAAACACTGATTAGAATCTTGATTTAACTTCACTTATGTACAGTATGTTCTGAGTCTTACCTACAGCCATATTGATAATCAGCATCACTAAAGTGCATAAACCTTGAATAATATTACTATGCTAGTATAGTAGAAGAAGCAAATATATTCAAAGTAATGTTCATAGTTATTTCAGAAGAAACAATGCCTTTTAAATGTACTTTTAAGGGTAGCTTGAAAGTATCAAGCATTATCACAGAATTTTGAATGAAATAATTTTATTTCACATTTGGCATCCTACAAATTGATGTGTTTTTTCCTTTAAAACACATTGTTAGTTATTAACTTGAGCATAACTTTGGAATCAAGATACCTAAATTTCAGTCTTATCTCTTTCAATATTCAGCTGAGTGAGGTTATGTTCTTGGAGCTTTAATTTCTGCATTTGTAAAATGCTAGATATCTTAATCTCTTCCCCAGATGGTTATTTTGTAGAATAAAAAAGGGGCAGCATTTGAACGATGTGTGAATTATAAATTTGTACAAATGTGTATATTTAGTGTGATAATTTTTTAAACTTTATTTATTTTGAGAGAGAGAGAGAAAATGTGAGCAGGGGAGGGGCAGAGAGAGAGGGAGTCAGAGAGAATCCTAAGCATGCTCCACACTGTCAGTGCAGAGCCTAACGGAGAGCTCTTTCACAGACAATGATATCATCATCTGAGCCAAAATCAAGAGCCATTACTTAACCAACTGATCCACCCAAATGGCCCTCAGTGTGATAATTTTAATGATCTCAACCTAGTATTACATTATTTAAAATGCAACTTTTGGAACATATCTAGTCAAATGCCAGTGAAAGAATTAATGTAATTTTTATTATAACTTTAAAATTCATTTTGAGAGACAGACAGAGAGAGCAGGACAGGGTCAGAGAGAGAGGGAGAGAGAGAATCCCAGTGCAGGGCCAGACAAAAGGCTCGATTTCGCAAACCACGAGATCATGACCTGAGCCAAAATCAAGAATTAGACACTGAACCGACCAAGCCACCCAGGCACCCCAGAATTAATGTAATTTTGAAGTTATATTGAGATTGTTTGTCACTCAGTACTTTAAAAGTAGCTTGAAATTATCCACAAATAAGGTTATTCATTCTGGTTAATTTATTGACTGATTCCACAATATTCACAAGACGTACAATGTGCTAGTCCCTGGAATGGATGCTTGGAGTACAGTGGTGAGAAACAACAACAGCAACAAACAGCCCCTGTCCTTGTGTTTAATGAACAAGTATTTTGCGGGAAAGACAGACATTAATCAGATGACTATACGGGTAAATTTATCATAGTATATACCAAGGGATCGAATGTGAGAGAGGACAATGGAGAATCTAATTTATATTGCCCGCCTCTTTGAGAAAAGACATTTAAGCTCAGCCCTAAAGAATGGTTTCCCAGTTAAATGAAAGAATTCCACTGAAATGTACAACTTGGATAAAGTTGTGAGGGGAGAAGCAAGTGTGTCTGATGTGTGGTGGCAAAGAGCTAGGAGTGGGAGATGATTGAGACAAAACTTTGCAGGATGAACGTGCAAAAGGCTGCTTAGAGTCCGTTTCATGCTGGGCTTTGTAGATCATGTTAAAGGTTCTGTGTTTATCCTAAATGGAAGAAAAAGCCTTGAAGCATTTTAATTTATGAACAATATTATTTCTTTTATGTTTTGGGAACATCATGGCGTCTGATGAATGGAACACATGTTGGAAAGTTGCAAGAGTAGAAGGGGGAAAAAGGAATAAATGGCACTATGCATGTCCCAGGGAAGAGGAGATTGGCTCAGACTAAGGTGAGGCCAGTGTAGCCAGAGTGAAGATTTGAGAAATCTTTTAGAGGTGCAATGGTGTGACATGGTGATGGTTTAGATAAAGGGTCAGGAAAAGGACGAAGTCAAGGGCAGCTTCCTTGAGAACTTTAAGTGGATGACTAACCACTAATCGATCTGGGAAAATCACAGGAGGAGCAAGTTAGATTTGAATTAGTTAGAAGTGCCTTTGAAATATTTGAGAGGATTTCTTCCACAGGAAGCTTATTATACTGGTATGAAGTATTGAAGATGAACCTTAAAATTCTCTCAGGTGGCATTAAGCACAAGAGATTTAAAAAACACAACTTTGCAATGATGCTTATATATTTCTAAAAGTAAGTAAATGCTTGTCTTTTCCTCCCAGAAATTAGATTTTTTTTGTTTATGCTAGAGGCGGATGGAATCCCTGCTAAGTTACTAACTTGAGTAATTGCAAAAAATATTTTCCCCATGTTTATATAATTTAGTACATTGAAAGCAATCTTTATTTTTTATTTTTTAAGACTTCTTTCTTAAATGTTATTTATTTTTGAGAAGAGAGTATGCATGTGTGTGCAAGTGGGAGAAGGACAGAGATATTGGGGGACAGAGAATCCGAAGCCGGTTCTGTGCTGACTGTTGAAAGTCCAATGTGGGTCTTAAATCACGAACCGGGAGATCATGACCTGAGTTATGAGTCCGTTAACGGACTGAGCCACCCAATTTTTTAATCAATTATTTGTTTTGCAAATCTGAAGGAATATAATTTGAAAAATTACAACTTGGTATTACACTCACCAGTGGTGAAAATTTGTTTCAATAATATTTAATATGTGTGAAGATTTATTCACAACCAGTTTGAAATATGTACATTTCACTAATCTATTATGCATTTTGAGTATATCAGAATGTTTTGGGGGGGCGCCTGGGTGGCTTAGTCGGTTGAGCATCCGACTTTAGCTTAGGTCATGATCTCGCGGTTCGTGGGTTCGAGCCCCGTGTCAGGCTCTGTGCTGACTGCCAGCTCAGAGCCTGGAGCCTATTTCGGAGTCTGTAACTCCCTCTCTCTCTGACCCTCCCCTGCTCATGCTGTCTCTCTCTCTCTCCTAGAAATAAATAAAAATATTAAAAAAAAATAATGTTTTGGGGTGGTTTGTGTTTTGGTCCAGGCACTTTGGAAGAATGCCTTACAGTAGTGATATATATGTATATTTTTTCTCTAGCAAAAACAATATCCTTATTCCTTGTTCCTAGAAAACTAGAACAAGGATGATTTTCTCACTGCTTCCTTAAAGAATAATATAGAGATTTTTGATCTTTCAACATCAAATTTGAAAAGTGATAATGGTTGAGAGGTTTGAGGTGTTAGTTGTGCCCATATTGTTCTTGCCTTTGTTCTTTTAATTTTCTTTAAAATGTGTATTGGTTATTACGCCTGTTCAGAAGTGAACGCTATTATGAGTGTTCTTCTATTATGAGTGTTTCTCTGGCACAAGTTACCACATCTGTGCTAAATACCAAAGTAAAATGACACTATCCCAATGCTCTGAAAACCAGAGATCTAGAGCTATGAACTTCTCCAAGGGCAGAAATATGTCTTGTTCATCTCTCTATTCCCAGATTCTAGCCTGAATATTACCTGAAAAGTGTTTGCTAAGTAAGTATATGAATGAATGAATGAATGAATGAATGAATGAATGAAAAAGAGATTGCCATCTCTTGTGTAGTGTTCCAGAAATGCTGAAATAATGGGAATTTTAGGTGGATGTTTATTTTTTATTTTTTGAGAGGGGATGAACAGAAGGGCAAAAGGAGAGGGAGAAAGAGAATCTTAAGCAAGCTCCACATCCAGCATGGAGCCCAACTCAGTGCTGGATCTTAAAACCTTGAGATCATAACCTGATGTGAAATCAAGAGTTGGAACCTTACTGACTGAGCCACCCAGACACCCCTACGTGGATGTTTAATAAATATTGCTGGACTCTGCAAAATAGAAAGGTGGTGAATAAGAGTGTGCCTTTGTAGTCGTTAATAGTTTTACCAAATAGTATTTAAAACTGCAACCTCTTGATTGAATTTCAATTACTTTGACACTCCATCTCTTTAAAATTGTTAGCATCTCCTTTTAGTTAAAAAAGCAAACAAATCCAAAATACTGACTTTAATTTTTAAATTATTTATTTCTACATTTTAAAGGTACTTCTCCTACAAAATTGAACAATATTTAACTTCCCTAACGTACGCTACTCCAGCTCATTTACTTTTAATTTAAACCATGTAGCTATGAGTGCTTAAGTATATACATTGATAAAAATGATTGGTTTGGCATAATAATTAACATACAAATATGTAATTAAACTACAGATAAATATGAAAGTACTTTACTTTCCTTGAAGCCCAATATAGTAGGAATTATTATTAAGACTTAATAACTTAATTATTATTATTATTAAGACTTAATAACTTAATAACTTAAATTGTGATGGATTTATATAAAATTAAAAAGGAAACCTTTTCCCCCTAGATTGCGAACTATGTGGTCAGTCTGGATCTGTCTTGTACCTCATTTAATGATCTAAGATATCTTAACATCTGATATATGACAGATACGCCATAGATGATAAGGAACTATTTCCTGAGAAATTAAAAAAAAACCCTTATGTTCTAAAAGTGTGTACTTGAATAGCTGAAGGTATGAATGGAGATCTTGTATTATAAGATTGACTGTCTATAGTCATACTTAATATCACTTTTCCAGGGAGAAATGTTTGAAGTTTTAAAAAAGTAATAGTTCTCTGACGAGAAGAAAAACTTGCAGAGTCAATGTTTTAGTCTCACAATCCTTTATAAAGTAATTTATGTTGTCCAGGATTCTTGCACATTTGGCTATTTGCATTCAAATGGCAAATTTGTTTTCTTGTTAAGTCTTTCTTGTGATCTGCAGTTTCTAGTTATTTATAACCCAGGTTTTGAGATATTTTATTATTTTGTTTGTAGGATGCTGTTCTAATGCAATTTTGTGCGAACAAATTGGACAAGAAGGACTTTTTTGGAAAGTCGGACCCTTTTCTTGTATTTTATCGAAGTAATGAAGATGGCAGGTAGATTTATCCTTTATGCTTTTTAACTCTATGGTAAGAATGATATTTGAAAGATTATTTTTTTCTCAGAGAAGCTCCGTAAATAGATAAGCAGTAACATATTTTGGTATTTTAAAAATTAATTTGACTCTTGCATCTCAATAACTGTGTAATTTATAAGCATTTTATATGTTTTGTATGATATTTAAAATGAATGATTTTTCAGCTTCAAAGAAACAGTTCCTCTGTACTTTCCCTAAAATTATAGTATTGCCTTATTAGTAGAAAAGAATTATATTTTTGTGGCGATCTAAAATGCTAAAACTAAGATTTTGGGTTATAAAAATAAACCATGTTCTTTAAGAGGGATTTGGATTTTACGGGTTGCTTTTTATGCTGCAGGGTTTGGGTCTTTTTTTTTTTTCCAATATTTATCTAACATGCAATAACACTTTTCATTATATTTTACTAGTTTGAGTGATTTTAGTGGTCATGATTAGATTGGTTTCTGTGTGGTTTAAAAATATATCCACGGGTTACAAAATATATTTTAATATGTATGATTCTACCATTAAATATATTTTAATTTTTCTGTGATTCATATTGTACCGTCAGTATCTGTGGAAAAATTTAGCGGTAAAATTATGGTTTAAGGTTCTATTGCCCAAGTCTAAGTCATGGCTTTCCTACTTAATAGCTATGAGACCAGAGGCAAGGTTTTTAACCCATATGCAACTCAGTTTCCTCATTTGTAAAATGGGCTAAGAATCACAGCTACTTCAAAGGGTTGTTGACAGTACTGAATGAGTTACTACACAGAAAGGTGGTAGCTTGCTTAACAGATAAAATGTGAAAGTTAGCTGTTATTATTGTTATTAATCTTATTGTATGGTTTTCCCTTTTTGTTTTCCTGAACTGTGTGTAATAAATACTAGCTAAAGGGTAAACATTATTTCACCATTAAAAATGAAGGGAATAGAATGATAAAAACCTGCCTACTGCTACACTTACAAATGAAATTGTACATGTTAATGTTCTAGAACAAGTATATAAAATGTTACATAAAAATAGAATATTTGCTATTTAAAGTGAATATACTGGCCAGTATCAAATGATGCTTTGCTTACTGTGAGATTTTTGTTGATGCAACTGGGCAGCTGTTGGTGATATTGTTGGGGAGTCATATTATTGTACATTTCGTACTTCCCTTCTATCTTCGTGGTAAACATGCCAATGTGGTATTTGCATCTGAACACTACTCTTATCCATGTGAAAGATAGTGGACAATGAAGAAAATAGTTATTTGCCAGTTAACTCAAAGGCAGAGAAAGACTAAAGAATGGTTCCAGATTTTTCAGTCACAAGGTTGTTATGTCTCCTCCTGTCTGAACTTTTTGTTTTCTGAGCTTTCTATTTTCATTCTAATAAGTTTTATTTATAAAGATTAGTTGTATAATTAGAGAATCTCAGTCTCTCACACATTTAATACTACTGATGAGTTATATTATGAAAATTCATGTTTGTAAAAATGGTAGTTATTTATTCATTAAATGAAATGTAAATATTAAGAAAAGGGTGCAATTAATTAAAAAATGTCAAGTCATTTAAAAACTATTCCTAAAATTTGATAAATCTCATTTCAGAAAACGTTCCACTTTTATTTACACACAGCAAACCAGGTCACCATCTATATCCAAATATATATTTTAAAGCATATGTAGTATATTATGTATGTTTATATTTTGTTTCTATGACTTTTGAATGAGTAAAAATGCTTTTACTCCTCACTTTTTATGTGTAAGTCTCTATTTTTAACTGCAAAGATTTTAGCTTTATTTTTAACATTTATTTGAATATGATACTATTTCAAAAATTGTCTGTTCCCTACTGTGCTTGATCCTCATTTTATACGATAGGGTAAAACTTAGTTTTACCCAGCATTAATAAAGATCCTTAACAATGTATGATTATAAATTCTTATGTTCTTGCTGTCACATTTATTTGGTAATGTAAACTATATTCATAATTAGATAACAATGTCCTCTTCAAATAGCTGCCTTTTCAGTAAATGGCTTCATTTAAAGCATTTTAATAAGACTAATAAAAATATTTTTCTTATAATGCTATTTGGGAAAAAATATATATGTATACATATATATATATGTGTGTGTGTGTTTATGTAGCAGTAAGTAAATAGCTCACTAAGATAAGTCACTTTCTTAAGAGCAAAAGTTGTCAACATATTTAATTATTATGGCTGGCCACACTAAAAATATAACAGAATTTTTTATTTAACCATAAACAAAAAGTTCAAATAGTCAATAAATTGTTGGACATGTTAGTTTGAAGATAGTCAAATGGTTGCTCTATCTTTTATCTACCTATTCATCCATGTATCTAGATATCATCTATGTAGATATCTATCTGTATCTACCACCATACCAAAAGCTTGATATATATAAGAATATGATACAACAAAGAAGAGAAAGCCCCTTTGTAAATTTTTAATAATGTGTTGTATTATGAAGGGAGGCAGATGCCTGTTTCTGAAACAAAACAGTACAGTTGACCTTGGGCAAAATGGGTTTAAACTCCACAGGTCCGGTTACACATGGACTTTTTTTTTTCAATGTTTTTATTTATTTTTGAGAGAGAGAGAGAGCAAGCAGGGGAGGGGTAGAAAGAGCGGGACAAAGGATTAGAAGCAGGCTTTACACTGACCACAGTGAGCCTGATGTGGGACTTGAAATCATGAATCATGAGCTCAAGACCTGAACTGAAGTCAGCTGCTCAACCGACTGAGCCACCCATGTGCTCTGGAATTTTTTTTTTTTTTTTGATACAGTATAATTGCGCAAATGTGTTTTCTCTTCCTTATGATTTTTTTAAATAACATTTTCTTTTCTCTAGCTTACTTTATTGCAAGGATACAGTATATAGTACACATAACATACAAAGTATGTGTTTATTGTTTATATTATCAGTGAGGCCTCCAATCAGCAGTAGACTACTAGTAGTTCAGTTTTGGAGGAGTCAAAAGTTATAATGCAGGTTTTTTACTGTGTGGTTTGCCCATGCCCCTAACCTCTGAATTGTTCAAGGGGCAACTGTATATATAATTTTGTCCCCATGAATATTCCTTAATCATTTTTGTGTACTGTCTTTTCTCATTTGATTCCTTCTGTGTTTTCCCTGCCAACTCCTTCCTTATGTCCTTTGCTTTTATTTTATTTTATTTAAAAAAATTTTTTTAATGTTTTATTTATTTCTGAGAGAGAGAGAGGCAGCATGGCGGGGGGGTAGGGGGATGGTCAGAGAGAAAGGGAGGCACAGAATCTGAAGCAGGCCCCAGGCTCTGAGCTAGCTGTCAGCACAGAGCCCGACGCGGAGCTTGAACCCATGAACTGTGAGATCATGACCTGAGCCAAAATCGGACACTTACCCAACTGAGCCACCTAGGCGCCCCTGTCCTTTGCTTTTAGATATCTCATTGATCCTTTTTTTTTTTAATCTTCTCAGTCTGTCATCTATCTTTTCATGGCTTTTGCCCCTAAATTGCTTTGGGTGAGTCAACTCTGAGAATGTAATAACCACAGATACATTCTCTTGAGCTTTGTCAATTTAATGGCAGGAGTTTGTTTAGATGCGTGATGGTACTACCAGGAAGGCGATAGCACTAATGCCATAAACCTTATAACGAATACTTGATCCTCTTAGATTGTGTTTCTAGTTGATGTCTTAATAGAAATAGACCTATCTTGCCTGACAGGAGGAAAATTGACTCAGAGGCTTTTTGAAATGAGAGTATGGTCTTGTGGGGGTTATGCGTAGTATGTCCACTATGGTGACTATGTAATATTGTCATGTTCATGACTGTTGCTGGGTCCCTGTGTTTGAAACACTTCATTACTAAAGTCTTTCTTGAGGATTGGGTTTGGCTGTCATTCTGACCAGGATCATTTCATAGCTCATGAACATAATACATTTACATTAGGCAATAACATTTCCAGGACCTGACTGATATATGGAGATGGGACCTGATGTTGTTCGGTGGAAAGAACACTGGAATTTGAATCAGAAAACCATTAAGGCTACATAGATTTGACCTCTTATTGTGTATTCTTTAGATATATAGAGCCATTGGTTTAGATAAAAAAAGAACTATAAGCTGGCTTGTCTCACTGTAAATTCATGATGTTTGTCTTAAGTGAAGAAGCCCTTGGGCCTCTTCAAGAATCCTACTTTTTAACTTAAGCCTCCAACTTTCCCTTTCTCCCAGACACTTGAGCACATCTGCCTACTTTCTTCTTTGCTGATGTCCATGCTTCCTATTTCAGGAGAAAATGGAGGCAGTTGGAGAACTTTCTCATGATCCCATCAGAGAATCTCCGGTGCACTCTGCCTTCTTGAATGTTCCTGGAGAATGACTATTCTGCGGTCCCAAGGCCAATTCCTGCATTGATGCCCTGGATTCCATCCACTTTCATCTACTTAAGGGCATTGCTGCAGCTTTTCTCCTCTCTCTTATGCATCATAAATTGTTTCCTATCTACTGGGACTTTTCCTTCAGTATACAACCTTGCTGTTTTCTCTTCCATCTTGGAGAGAAACATTTAAAAGTCATGAAAACCACTCTCCATGAAACTCTCCATGGACTAATCTATCCCTTGAAGCTACCCCCAATTTATCTTTACAATTAAACTCTCCAAACGTATTGTTTCCACACTCTGTCTCTGTTTCTCTTTTCTCTCTTAAACCCACCCAACCAGGTTTTTGTTCTCAGCACTACAACAAGCTCATCTTGTTAGGCATACTGATGACCTTCATATTCTTAGTCATAGGTATTTTTTACTGTTTCACTATGTCATCACAGTTTGTATAGAGATTATTTACCAAGCAACTTTAGAATTCATTGAATTTGCAAAAGATCATCTTTCACAAACTTATTGCAAAATATCATTGCTTTACGTTGTAGTGAGCTTATCTTTCAAGTTTTAAAACAAATCTCTTTTTACTAAATGATATACCAGCCAGAGAGACTGACAACATTTGCTCTATACAAAAAAGAAAGAGAAGAATGACTACTAAAGCTGTATATCATAATTGAATTATAAAAATAACTGAAAACTTTTATTTTTACAGTTTCACAATTTGTCATAAAACAGAAGTTGTCAAAAATACTCTAAACCCTGTGTGGCAAGCATTCAAGATCTCAGTCAGAGCATTATGTAATGGTGATTATGACAGGTAAAATAAATGACAACTTTTCTGAGAGTTTTGAATATTTGCTATAGATTTGTATTTGATAATCTAAGCCAAATCTTAAAAATTAAGGGAACTTTTTTATGTATGTAAATGTGTATTTACCAAATATAGATGATTTATTTAGAATTTTTAATAACTCTTTATTCATGATTATTTGGGGAAGAGGGATAATTTGACTAAAGTTTGGTTAAACTGATTGATTTTCAAAATCCAAAAATATGCAAAGTGCTATAAATACATTAAATTTTACTTTATTTTAACATATTATTCAAAAGTCACTCTAGAATTTGTATTGCCTCAATGTTTTAATTTGGTATTATCTTTCTGGAGTGGAATAAGTAAACATAGAAGAGATACAAGACTATGACTAGGTATATTATCAACTCTGAGGCATTCTTGAAGATGCTGTTTGGCATCACTGGTCTCACAGATGTTGAATCATAAAAGTTCTATAGATTTAGGACAGGGAGATTTTGGTGCTCTACCAGGAATTAGGTGAGGTGACCCTGAAGATCCTCCCACAATATACCTGAAGATTTCTTGATATTAAAGTTTTTTTTTTCTTTTTCATATGGAAGCTGATTATAAGGCTTAACATTAAAGCCCTTACCCCCAAAAGAAAAGCAAATAAATAGAAAGCAAAAACACAATCTTTTTGTTATTTTATTTATCTTATTACTTGAGTATTAGAAAAATGCAAATTTATTCTATTAACTAATAGAGAAGGAACTATTGAAGGAATTATTGGTTAGCGGCATGTCATTAAATTTACTTTAAAAATTGAAGTTGAATGTCATTTTTATTCACTTAAGAAGATCATAATTTTATTTAACTAAACTCATTTTTTAAGAAAGTGGTTCTTGCAATGTGGTTCTTGATTAGCAGTATCAGCATAACCTGGTTTAACTTTGTAGAAATTCAAATTCCTAGGCCCCAACCCAAGCCCACTGTATCAGGAACTCTGGGCATGAAGTCCAACAATTCAGGGTTTGAGAAGCTTTCCATGTGATTGTGATTCATCCCAAAATCAAGAAATCCTGCTCTAACACAATGGTTTTCAAGAGTAGAAAAGTAGTTGCAGACCTTTCCATTGAGGAGCTATGTCAGATTCTACACGCTTCTCCCACACACTTTCTCTATCCCTTTGAAGAATCGATAAGAGTGAAAAACCTTCAAAATATAGTAATAAAATCATTAAAATCAATTTTAAACTATTTTGTAAAACCTATATTATTTCATCTAAGAAAATCTGCAACTTATTTTTAAATTCTCAATCATGTTATTTTAATCTTACTAAGTAACTTTATGTGTATGTTTTCCCCATGGACAGAACAATCAAAGTAGAGGTGTATGACTGGGATCGAGATGGGAGGTAAGACAATCTTTTTTCTTTTATTCTTGCTTTTGAAATTTAATTTGCTTTCAAAATATACTGATATGACCACAGTTTTTACTTTTAATCTTCAGATTGAAGATTGTGTCTTACGTTGCCAAATGTTACCTAGCTGCTTACATGGAATTTTAAGAATTAGTGTAATTTTTCAATTTGGAGAATAAAATAGTGGTCTTCCTCATTTGCAGTAACATTGTAAAAATTTTCAACTAGGATTTGATGATTTTTCATTGTACAACTTACACATGTCTTACATAGCTGCATAGCAGTGGTTCTCAAATGTCTGTGTCTCATAATTTCTCTGAAGATTCCTATAACTTTCTATCCCATGTCATTCATGGGAACACCTGAGCACCCTTCTCCCCACCCCCCCAAAAAAACCTCATACCTCACAAACAAAAAACAAAACAAAACTCTAGAATTATGTCTGGTGATTGCCAATACAAATAGATGTTCAGAGCTCCAAAATCATGGTTTTCCTTTGCATATCACAGTACATGTTAAATACTAACAGAGGAGGTATACACTACTTCTTTCTCTTTCTTCTTTATTTTCACACGGTTTCTACTTTTTTAGGTAGGATTGATACTGACGTGATATAAAAATTTTTTTAACATTTATTTATTTTTGAGAGACAGAGCGTGAGTGGGGGAGGGGCAGAGAGAGAGGAAGACACAGAATCCAAAGCAGGCTCTGGGTTCTGAGCTGTCAGCACACAGCCCAACATGAGGCTCAAACCCACAAACCGTGAGATCATGACCTGAACTGAAGTCAGATGCTTAACCAACCAAGTCACCTAGTCGACCCAATACTGAGTTGTTTTTAAATGATGTTAAGCCAAGGGAGCCAGAAATGCTCACATCTCACCTTGCCCTAGGTAACTGCCTCTGCAGGTCATTCCTGAAGGGACTGAATATACAGATGCCAAGGGAAAATGACAAGGAGGAAAGCAATTTTGCTTGGCTAATGTCCTACATACACTCCAACCCAAAGTTCTCTGAAAAATGGAGTTCATGGAGTTAAGCTAATCTTAGTCAAGATCTAAGCAAGGTCTTCTTCACTGCCTTTTTTAAAAATGTTTATTTATTTATTTTTGAGAGGGAAAAGGGACTGAGAGAGGGGGGAAAGAGAATCCCAAGCAGGCTGTATGCTCAGCACCAAGCTAGATATAGGGCTCGATCTTAATGACTGTGAGATCATGACCTGAACTGAAATCAAGAATGGGACACTTAACCAACTAAGCCACCCAGGCACCCTTCACTGCAATTTATATAAGCCTGCCTAGCCTCAAGGGATGAGAGTTTCTGGATACCTGAGCACTCCTCTTAATGTAGGAACAGTTCAACTGAGAAGTCCGAACTGTTCTGAGGGGACAGCCCTTGTGCTACATAGGCAGGAAAATGGCTAATTGGGGAGCCACACAAGCATATAGGTGACATTTGACCATACATTCATTTATATACATTGTCCAACTGGTGATGTGGAATTTGGTCCAACTAATATTTTCTGCTTCTCATGGATTGATAAGGGAAGATGAAGACAGAGGTGAAGATACTATCCCACACCTCAGCTCTCATCAAATAATTGATTTCTATCTTCAAGTGCAATCTCAAGCATGACTTTGCTAAAACACCCTAACACTATGTGAAGTTACTCTTTCTTTAAAGTCTATTTATTTATTTTTGAAAGAGAGAGAGGGCACAAGTGAGGGAGGGGCAGAGAGGGAAGGAGAGAGAAAGAGAATCCCAAGCAGACTCTGCACCATCAGTGCAGAGCCAAATGGCGGGCTTGAACAGGAATTGCAAGCACATGACCTGTGCCGAAGTCAAGAGTTGGATGCTTAACTGACTGAGCCACCCAGGCCACCCTAAAGTTACTCCTAAAGTCAGTCAATTTCCACATGAATTCTGGAGAAACCTCAGTAGAAAACATTATGTTTCCTCATAGAGACATGTGCTCTATCGCTTCATTGAACTTTATTCACTAAGAAAATGAGTTTTGTACCTCAGAATAAATAGAAGAAGAAATAATTCCAATCTGAGTAAAGTAGAACTTTCTGCCTTTTCTGATATAAGGGTATGCCTTATATCATACCCTGTTTTAAATTATAATTGAGAATGAGCAAGTGGTGGCCTTTCTCTAATAATATTAGGAAATTAGGGAAATTTTAATTTGAACACTTTGAAATGAAGTGTGTAAATTCAGGTTTCATTTGCATCTATGACCTTTAATCCAAAATTTGCAGACATTGTAAATGTTTTATTGTCCTGTTTTGAAAAGTGAGGTTTTATGGCTCTCGTTCCATCTCCAGTCTACTTCTGAGCCACAAAAATTTTGAGTCATTTTGGAGATCAGAATTACCTTGGAATTTAATTATCATTTTTCTTTCTTTTTTGATATTGGAGTTTTGAGCATTCCTATCCAGGATATGATTTACTGAATGTTTTTAATATGCCGAGTATTCTCTAAGCCTTTTCCAGGTTAATTCCTTATTTAATTGTTGCAATAAGAGACAGGTAGTGTATTTTACAGATTAAAAAAATCAAGGCAAAGAAGTACCGTGCCTAGGTCACACAATTAACAAATGGTGAAGCCAGGGCTTGAACCCTGGCCGTGTGCTTCTTCTTACAGTTCACCCATAAATAATACACTCTTTCTCTAACATTGTAGCTGTAAATCATGGCATATAAATAAAAGCCTTCAACCAGGGCATTGGTCTTACTCTATGATTCTTTGGCAGTTGATAATACTGTAATTAAGAAGAATGTAAGTACTATTTAAGAAACCTTTTAACATAAATATGTCATTACCTAACATTTTATATTACCCAGAGACATGGATGAAGCATTCCTTGGTAGCAAGTCTTATGTAACAGGAAGTTAGGTAGGGGTAAATGAGTATTTCAGATTTTGAAAGAATTTTGATAGTTATCCAAAGGGCCAGTGAAGTGTATAAAAGAGCTGACTTAGGTTATGAGAATAAGAGCTCGAGTGAGAACAAGAGCATGAGAGAGAGTAGAAATAGAAAGATGGGAGCGATTATGGAATGTAGTTAAAAGAAGTGAAGCATTTGGGTCATTAGATTGGGAGATTTTTTTCAATATACGATGATTTACTTTGGAGACATGAATTTAGATGGAAAGAAAATATTCAGATGTTGAAATTTTATAAACTCATCTTGCCTTTGGATCTTCACTTATTGGTGGTACTGGATCCCAATTTGATTTGTTTTTAAATTCCACCTCAATATACCATCATGAACAGCATGTTCAAAAGAAGTCTAAGGAGTAAGACTGTCTGACAATATAAGGGAATGAAGGTGTCAGGGGAAGAACTGTTAGGGGGAAACTTTAAATATTCCTTGGAAATGAATTATATGATTAGCAGAATAACTGGAGGAATGTATTATAATTTTATAACTGGCTTAATAATTTTTTAATGGGACAAAATGCTCTTCCTTTAATCCATATTTTAATCTAAGAAACTTCGGTGTATACTTTTATATGACCTGGGTATAGTAATTACCTTTACAATGTCAACAAAATTATGTCTGAGAATGACATATAAAAAGAAAAATTAGGGGCGCCTGGGTGGCTTAGTCGGTTAAGCGTCCGACTTTCGCTTAGGTCATGATCTCACGGTTCGTGGGTTCGAACCCCGCGTCGGGCTCTGTGCTGACTGCCAGCTCAGAGCCTGGAGCCTGTTTCAGTCTGTGACTCCCTCTCTCTCTGACCCTCCCCTGCTCACGCTGTCTCTCTCTCTCTCCTAGAAATAAATAAAACATTAAAAAAAAATAAAAAAAAAATACAAATGGGTCCTTTAAAAAAAAAAGAAAAATTAAAATGATTAAATAATTTTTGATAAGCATTTCTTTTTTTTTTTTTTTTTTACAAATAGTTTATTGTCAAATTAGTTTCTACATAACACTCAGTGCTCATCCCCAAAGTGCCCTCCTTCATGCCCATCCCCCCCTCCCCCCCACATCCATCAGTCCTCAGTTTTTGTCAGCATTCAAGAGTCTCTCATGGTTTGCCTCTCTCCCTTTCCCCCACCATTTCCGCCCTTCTTCTCCCCCTTGGTCCTCCGTCAAGTTCCTCCTAATCCTCCTATACGTGCAAACATATGGTATTTGTCCTTCTCTGCCTGACTTATTTCGCTCAGCATAACACCCTCAAGGTCCATCCATGTTGCTACACATGGCCAGATTTCATTGTTTCTCATTGCCATGTAGTATTCCATGGTATAGATAAACCACAAATAATTTTTGATAAGCATTTCATGTAAATAATATGATTTATGAAATTTGAAAGACACACTGGTCTCTAATAACAAAGATGCCTAAAAGCCATAAAATCCAGATACTATTTTTGTAATGTATAATAGTCACTGTGTAGATTGTTATACAAGTTGATATTCCAGCTTGTGGTTACATGTGCTTATGATAACATGGTTATTATACTTTCTATATGCATTTTGTTTATCTGACATAATTTCCCAAAGTAAATATTCTTTTTTTTATATATATATTTTTATTACTTATTTCTAGGAGAGAGAGAGAGAGACAGCATGAGCAGGGGAGGGTTAGAGAGAGAGAGAGACACAGACTCTGAAATAGGCTCCAGGCTCTGAGCTGGCAGTCAGCACAGAGCCCGACGCGGGGCCGGAACCCACGAACCGCGAGATCATGACCTAAGCGAAAGTCGGACGCTCAACCGACTAAGCCACCCAGGCGCCCCCCAAAGTAAATATTATTTTGTGAAATCAGAGTGAAGGTGATTTTACATTCATTGTGTTTCATGATACAATGTAATTATCAGCAGAAACTGTTTCCTACTGTCTCCCTGTTATCTTTAGTACTTGTCATAAATCATGTACCTGTATCAGTTTTTGAGCTCTATATCTAGATTGAGAACTTTTGTTTCCTCTATTTAGAAAAAAGATTATTTACACAGTGGACTCCTCCCAGCTCTTTTGACATCC